ACCCTTCCAGTCTAATTGTACTCTACAAACATTATAGAGATAGTTCACCCAAAAATGTTAATTCTGTCATTATTTACTCACACAAAATATTTCGAGAGCTATCTGACCCTTTATAAGCAGCAACACAACTTACATGTTCAAGGCCCAGAACAGTAGGTAAGACATTATGAAAGTAATCCATGTGACTCCAGTAGTTTAACCTTAGTTTAATCCATTTTGTCTTCTGTCACATGAACACAACACTCATGCGCTGTGATGCTCTCGTGAACACACACTGCAGATCAATATTTTTATAAATAAGTGGTAAATTCGTATTTTTTAATTATTATTATTACTTTATTTTTTTGCACAAACAAAGCACTCGTGTCCCTTCATAAAATTGAGGTAATTCAACTGGAGTCACATGGATTACTTTAACAATGTCTTTCCTACTGTTCTGGGCCTTGAATGAGTAAGCTGCCTATAGAGCAGGGGTGCCCAAACTCGGTCCTGGAGGGCCGGTGTCCTGCAGAGTTTAGCTCCAACCCTAATCAAACACACCTGAACCAGCTAATCAAGGTCTTACTAGGCATACTAGAAACTTCCCGGCAGGTGTGTTGAGGCAAGCTGGAGCTAAACTCTGCAGGACACCGGCCCTCCAGGACCGAGTTTGGGCAGCCCTGCTATAGAGGGTCAGAAAGCTCTCAGATTTCATCTAAACTATTTTAATTTGTGTTCAGAAGATGAATGAAGATCATTGAATGAAGGTCTTTTTGACATTGTTCTTTGGAGAGGAATTCCATCTTTGAGTTGATTTGAATCTCATCGTACAAACTACTTAAACGTAAAGCTTTAAATCCATCCCTCCCGAACCTATAACAAAAGTGTCCCTCGCGGGTCAAAATGACCCGAAGGCCAAAAATGACACTTTTTTTAATTTTTACCTTTTATCTTAAATACACATAGAAGGTAATCTGGGAAAACTGAAACCGGTGGAGTAATAAATCAAAAACCATGGAAACTAATGAGGGAACACCTGGAATCCATAAACATAATTGAACATGAGGGAAAACTGGGTCATGGAAAGCACGTGGGGGAAGGAAACACAAAACACGGACATTAAGTCTGATAAACAGGCAGTTAAAGCACATAGACAGCATTGTCATTTTGCTTGATAAAAATGAAAAAAAAAACAAAACTTTGTTTTCTAAAAAATGAGCCCAAGGGAGCATATATAAAGAAAACAAAATGGGGGCAATAATAAATCCTTGGGGAACCCCGCAGCTCAGACATGCTTTGGAAGATAATCATCCATTTATATAAACAGAAAAAGTTATATTGTTCAAATAGGATTTGAACCAGTTCATTGCATGACCTTTAATACCCGCACAGTGTTCAAGACGAGAAATAAGAATGTTATGATCGACCGTATCAAAGGCCACACTCAAATCCAACAGCAGAAGTATTACAGAGTTCCCAGATTCAACAGATTATAAAATATAATTTGACACTCTTAAAAGAGCAAATTCTGTACTGTGATGTTTCCTAAAACCATACGGAAAAGATTCAAAGATTCAATTTGACTCTAAAAATGTAATAATTGGACAGAAACTACACTGTAAAAAATAAACTGTTGAGAATACTTTAAAAAGTAAGGCAACTTGATGCAGTAAGACTTTTGAGTTGTCTCAACAATTATTTTATAGTTCTTCTAAGTAACAATACTGCGTTCAGCCAACCTAAATTTCTTTGTTCATGCAATGATGATTGTCTTATTTTGCTAATAAATTTATTATTGTCACAGCAACTGAGTACTGTACAACAAGTACTGTTGTTGAGTAAATTTATTATTTTCTGTTTCCTGGATGGAAATAAAAATGTGTAAATAGTCACCACATCACCATTTTTATGTCTATTTACGCATGACAAACAAGGACTTTTTGTCATTAAAATTATAATGATGGAATCAAGAACATAATGGAATGTTATAGACCACAATGGGCAATATTGTCTTTGTTTATAAAGCATCCTACAAAATTAAGATATCCAAAACATAGATTTAAGAGGTTGAACATAATCTAGGCCTTAATACTTGACACACAAACCTCAAGAACGGTGGCAATCAACAAATGTAAAAAAAAAGATGAGCTCTTTAAATCACTGCACAACAAACAACTAACAATAATGACAAAACAACAACGGAAAAGTTTAAATGAAGCCTGCAAACAGCAAAACAATAACCCTATAACAGTATCTGCATAATTTATTCATGTTGCAATGCATGCTGGGAACTCACAAAGCCTTAACATTTCAGCAATATAAAATTATTTGTTCAGACAACTCTGTTTGACTAGTTGGGACAACATTTCGGGTCTGACAAAGGTTTTTATGTTCAATTCTGTTGGTCTAACAAGGATTTTTATTTATTTATTTAGTATTTGAGACTCAAAAGGTTTCGTAAGCTGGAAAATATGCAGTTGCATTTTTTACAGTGTACCTTCTCAAGGATTTTAGAGATAAAGGGTAGATTAGAAATTTGCCTAAAATTTGAAAGAACTGTCGCATCAAGGTTAGATTTATCAACAGAGGTTTAACAGTATATTTAACATGCTTTAAATATTCTGGAACAAATTCAACGGAAAGATTCAAATTTATTATTGCTAAGATACAGGGTCCAATGACATCAAAAACCTGAATAAATAGGTGTGCTGGAATAATGTCAGTTACCGATGTGGTTAGTTTTAACATCATAACCAGTTCATGAAGAGAATCTGTCGAGATGGTTTCAAAAGCATTATTAAAAGAAGAGGTGCAAACCGGAAGAGAGGAGGGATCATAGTTTATGGGGACAATAAGCTGTCAAATGTCATGTATCTTGTTTGTAAAGCACCTTAAAAAACATTCACAAGCAGTATCTGGGTCATCAAAATCCAGATCCAGATCAACTGAGTTAATTGTGGAGAACAAAATCTTGGGTCTTTGATCATTTCTAGCTATGATGTCAGATAAATACTTTGATTTAGGGTGTATTCACACCAGGAAAGTCCACTAGTTCACTTGCTTTGGTCCGGACCAAAAACAATGTTGATTTTTTTTTGTTTGGTGCGGTTCGCTTTCACACTGCCCTTTTTGCAAGTGAACCAGAAATTGTAAACAAAACAACACGTGTGCTTCAGGTCATCCATTCATTGGTTCATCCATTCAACCGTACCAGAGTTCGTTTGGAAGCGGACCGAGACCACCTCTTCAGCTGGGTCTCAGTACGGTTGTTTGGTCCGCACCCGAGTGCAATTGGTGTATTCACACCTGCACAAAATATCTGCACCAAAGGGGGAAACGAACGTTAGTTCGATTCAATCGAACCAAACAAGACAGGTATGAATACACCCTTAGCCTCCTTCACAGCTCTTTGATAGTTAGTTAATGAAGTACATAGTATTTCTAATGACACATGCAACTTACCATTTTTCAATTTACATTCTGCGCGCCGACATACTCGTCTCAGAGCCCGTATATCAGTATTTAACCATGGCTCTGCCTTAGGTTAAAGTTGCTAACTCCGAAATGGAGCAATAGAGTCTAAAATTTCAGTACAAGTAGAATTAAATAGAGTAAGTTGCTGTTCAGCATCTAAATTATTTGAGGGACAGTCAAGAGAAACCAGCATACAAGCCTCATCAAAATGGGAAACAAAATCTTCACTAAATAATATGCTTCTTGGCTTTAACAACCTGATCTAAAATAGAACAGGTAAACATCACAGGGTTATGATCCGAAAAAATTAAATCACCAATTTCCAGATCATGAATAGTGATACTCTGTAACAGGAAAAGAACAAGAGTATGGCCGAGTGAGTGCGTGGGCTCCATAACCATTTGGACTAAAAGAGTCAATAAGATTTTTTAACTCTTTAGCAAGCGGATTTGTATCACTGCAGACATGAATATTAAAATCACCAACAATCAAAAATCTATCAATCTGAGAAGCAATTCCGCCTAAGAAATCAGCAAACTCATGTATAAAGTCTTTGTTTGGCTTTGGAGGATGGTATACAATAGCAATCGCTAAGATTTTATCCCTTTTCAGACGAAATAACAGTACCTCAAAGATGGAGAAAGTCTCAGATTTTAAAGTCCGACAAGTGAAGCAGCTTTTAAGAACACAAGCTAAGCCACCACCCATCCCAGTTGTTCTTGGGCAGTTTAAAAATTTACAGTTTGAAGGTTCATACAGTTTGAAGAATTACATTTTTTCGTGACTTATTTATGCACATGATTTGGACAAGATTATGCTGGGTATGGCTCAGTTTTGGGGTTTCTGGTTAAAGACCAGTAAGACCATACCAGTAATAAAACCTGTTCTGGGCCACTTCAGGGCCAGTTATTAGTTATTAACTGGCTGAGACTTGGCCCAGTTATGGCCCATGTGTGGCCCCTGTCTTTAATTCAGATTATGGCTACTCCAGGGCCATCATTGTGGTATGTGGGCTGAGGAAAAAGTGGTTGTGTGGACCGGAGCTGGGCCAGAAAACAATTGCTGTGGGTGTCTTTTTAAATTTGAAAGGACAAATACTCACAAAAATATCCAATATCAAAACTTGTGAACACAGTCGTTATGTCTCGTTTATCTTTTTTTCCATATTTACATACTGCAAAGTTGTGTGATTTTAAATGAAATATTTCACTAATAATTCGCTCACTTTTCTCCTCTAATACTCACTAATATCTGATCTAATAACATGCAAGTCTATAATTTTAATTCCTTTCCATTTATTTGTGCAGATCGGCTTTTTGTAAAAAAAAAAAAAAAACAGCGCACACCTTACAGACGCACGCACCAAGTAATTTTTTATACATTTTCCCCGTATTATTTCCTTCCTCTAGACTTACAGACGCCCTACATAAATTTCCCCACATTTCGCTCCTCTCGACGCTTCACACTCCAGTCCTGCCGGTGGCGCTAAAACACATACGTTTGTTTGCCAAACACCATTAAACCTCAGAGGAGAAAGAATAGTTTCATCGCGCTCTCTGTTGTTTTGTTGTGATACTGGTTTAATAGAAACTGTTATAAATATTGTTTCTATAATAGAAAAATACAGTGTTTGAGTCAGGCCAGTAACGTAAATGCCTGTAATATTCTCATCCTCACAGTCGTGACAGATTTAAAGCAAGCAGGAATATCTGGAGGAGTATCTGCTGTGAAGATGGTGTTTGTTAAAGAGAGTGAGGAGAACACGAGTGAACCAAAACTCTGGAGAATAAAACACGAGGAACCAGAAACCTGGAGAATAAAACACGAGGAACCAGAACCCTGGGAAATAAAACAGGAGGAACAAGGAGGTTGGTGTTTATTGTTCATTCATCCTTAATGACTGTTTGTGTTACATTTAGGCTGACGAAGCTTTAACCATCTGAAGTCTGAGGTGTTTTGGGGCACTGGAGAAGTTTTCACATGCCCTGACATTTGTGTTTTTTTCAGTATCTTAAAAACATATAAATGGCTAAAGTCTGATTACACTGTAATCAGCACAAACTGTGTTACAATAATACGTGAGCAGCATGAATGTAGCCTATACATGTTTGTGAGAAAACAACCAAATTTATGTGTGGTTAGTGAAAAACTAAAATGTTTAAGTCACTGAAATAAGGACATAAAACACATGCAGAACATTTTGTTCACAAGACTTTTGAGAACTGGGTGTGATAGACTAGAGTTTTTGCCACAAAAATTTATGTGGATATCATCCTGCTCACTCATTCACAGAAAACAATATGATGATGTTATGATAAATGTTATTTTGAAGAATGTGTGTAACCAAACAGTTGAACAGACTTCCATAGTATTTTTTTCCTAATATCAAATGTAGACCAGCTACTAGGGGTGGAACGGTTCAACTTACCGTATTGGCCCGAATATAAGACGACCCCCCTTTTTCCAGATGTACCTTTTGGAAAAAGGCTTTTTAAAAACCAAATCTTGTTTTTTCTCAGTAAAACACATTTTGTCTTCATTTATTTTTCTATTGCATTTTTGTCCTATTTTAATTTTTGTTTTGAAAGTATGGTAAAAACTGGTAAAATGTACCAACAATCACATTTAAAAAAAATACCCTTTTTGATATACCATTAAAAAAAAAAAAAAAAACAGGTAGCCCATCTGAATTAGGACATTTAGGCTATCCATCTAATAGTAAGCCTACCAAAATCTTATTAACAGTAGAAGTAGAGTTGGTCCCATCAGGCTAACGTGACAGTCACGACTCATGCAGCGTTAAGGTTTTCTTTTTCTTTTGTTTTTACTCGAGATCTTTAACAACACGCATTACATTACGTATTTCATGGCACACTCGTTTTATGCATATTTGGTATTCAACCTATTGTTGTGGGTGTATTATTGACAGGTCAAAGTCTAGACCCTGAATATAAGACGACCGCATTTTTTCAGATGTATTGCCAAGAAAAAAACATTGTCTTATATTCGGGACAATACGGTAATAGAACGTGATGACACAGAAGAACTCATCCACAATATCCACATTGACCGCCACAAATATCCAC